TAAGGAGAACTAAAGAACTAGATTCACAAAGGGACTTGTGTACCTTTCTGCCTCACAGGAGCCACAGGCCTAGGTTAAGCATCACCACAGCAGATACAATTCATACTTGGGTAGTGTGCTAGGTCTGATAATCCCATGCTTCAGCACTTTTGCTGGTTACCTGTAGGGACTTTGATAAGGGACAAAGGATACCTTCAATGATACTGGCTTCTGGGGTGGGAATTTGCTTTGAAGCATTGGGTTCTTGGCCACAACTGATGCTGGGGTTTTGGATTCAAGTGTACTAATGCTCCTGTCACTACTTCAAAAATCGAGATGGTCTTCCTATTCTCATGGTCCCTCCAACTGCCAAATGTAAGATCAGAAAGAAATTTTCCTTCTAGGTCAAGTTGGCTAGGACTTGGAGGTGGGAGAAAGAGGAAGTGAGGGGCTTCCTTCCTCTGTATCATGGGGCATGGTCATCTTCATAGGATCAGCTGACTATCCATTAACCAATCACTTTCCTGTGGCAGTGTACAAACTGCATCCTTGTCTCACCTGCTTTTACCAATGGCATTCTGTAGGATGTTCCAGGTGTGTACCTTATTGTTGTATATGTGATTATTTGAAGTGACTACTGGGATTTGAAGTGATTACTTTGGGAAATCCTTGGGTTGCCTGTGAACACAGGGAATTGGACCTGATAGCTTGGGAGGCCCTCTCCAGTTCTATGGTCCTAATTAAATGGCTAAGAATGGGATCAACAGCAGTCAATACACCATAAAGAAAGCCACTTAGGTTTCTTTCTAGGAAATGATTTGGAATTTAGCCCCACAAACTTAGCAGGGCATTACTCCACTCCTCAAAGAGAGCTGGGCATTTAACTCAAGGGCATTTCTGTCCACACAGAATCCACAGCCATAAACCCTCTCCAGCAGTCATCTGCCTAGCTCAGTCCCTTTTCACAAAACCTAGAAGGCATTGCCCCTTTCACACATTTTACCTAATAACCTTACCATTTAGAGCACTTGTCCAGGATTGTGGGAGACTAGGGTTCAAATCCTTCCTTGGCCTGATGGGACAGGGATTGGAACTTGGGTCTCCTTCTCTGCCCCTCCCCTGCCCTAGTGCCGTAGCAATTAGTTTCTCTCTTTCTGACCAACCCAAGATTTAATTATTCTATGCAAAGTGGAAAAGTGGTGCTTGGGCCTAACAGGTGGGGCAGAAATTCTCAACCAGAGTGGGGTTGTGGGAGCTTTTTTGAAGAGTGCCCCTAGGTACAAGTAGACAAGCATGTGTAAGGAGGTAAGTGCAGGCTCAGGTTCTTCCCTGCCTGGCTGCTGCCCTGTTCCCACTGTCCAACCTCTCTGCAAGGAGGTAAGTACTGTAATAAATAAGTTCATTAATTAATACATTAGTTTTTGAAATGGGATGCTGCTCAATTCACAAAAGTTAAGGGGAGAGTCAAGCAAGGGATGCCTCGAGTCCATAAAAAGGTTACGAACTACTGGGTTAGATGAGATCAAGTCCTTTTCAGATGAGAAGGTATGACTCCAGAGCCCCTCCATCCCCCGAAGATCCAGGTGAATGCTCTAACAGCTAGACTATAGGACAAATGGGACCACTTGCTGCTCCTCTTCCTCTGTCCATTCTGCAAATGTCTATTAGATCAGGTGCTATAGATTGTGCCTAATGTGAGAGTCCCAACAGTGATTAGATGTGATCTAGACACTGCTGTCAGACTTAGATATATCCAAGAGCAGACATTTGAAGTGCCTCTTGAGTCAGGCTGCAACTGGGCAGGGTTTTTAAGGATCTAAATATTGTACTCAGATACTTGAGAGAGGCAAGCAGGTGACTAAATCCTTCTGTGGATCTAGCCCAAACAGAACGGACACACAATTGTGGTATATGACATTTTTAAAGGCAAATGGCTAAATTTTTCCAAGAGATTAATTTGACCAACAGTTGTAAATACTCCAATACAAATATGGGATTCAACCCATGAACAGACCTGTGATTATCAACACAGCCTTGCTACTCAGCAGATTGTAGAAATCTAAAACCTCTAGGAGAAGAATGTGTTAATCCCTAATCCCAATGCACACATACAAAAGAAAGAAAAAACAGTGGGAGTAAACATGCCCACAGAGTAGGTAAAATATATTATTGCATATTATAAACATTATATACAAGGTTAAAATGGTTTCTGTCCAGTTTACTTACAAATTACATTGTAGCTGAATGTCTTTCTTACAAGTCCTCGTTGCTACATGCTGAGAACTACCAGAGGTATTTGGCAAGACTATACACTATAGGGCAATATGGATCAGTCTGAACAGGGAAACTCTTGGCTACTTTCCCCATCGTTAGCCCTATACTATTTAGGAGTATCCATTTTTCTTAGCTATTGCAGAGAAAGCTATTGTTAAAGCAGTTTCAACTAGATTTCCCAAGATGGACCAGTAAGATTCTTTTACCTAATCTGGGAGGATTTTATCCACATTAATGTAGGGATTAAAAAGTCACCATTTACCAGTGGGTCACCTGGTAATCAATCTGGGGACTAAAAAATGTTTGTACGTTGGAGATGGGGGAGCAATAAATAAAGCACTAAGTTAATGCATATGGTCTTGTCCTTGACAAACTTAAATCAGTGGTTGTTGGGCACATTCAGTGTCAAAGAGCAGAAAGGATGATATTTTCAAAGTAGTCTTGTAACAGCTTCTCTGGTCAAGGTTGACAAGTCTGTAAGGTTCCTGGGGAAGTTTCTTCTGTTAAGCAAGGATGAAATGCTGTGGTTCCTCAGGAAAAAAAACTCTGGGTCTGAGCTGAACTATATCTCGGTCAGCGTGATCTTGAAACCTTCCACCATGCTCTCCATGTTCAGGATGAAAGTGTCCTCATTGGAGTAGTGCTCAATGATGTTATCATCCATGTTTACCAAGATACTGGTGAAAAAGGGAGAAATCAGCATGCTTACAAAGGAAGCTGGTGAAAGGGAAGGTTCTGCAAAACTGCCCAAAGCAATGCTGCCTGGCTATGTGTACTTCACTAATTCTGATTTACCTCAAAGTGACACTTGCTGGGGTCTTTGAAGGGCACACAGAGATCTCTTTCAGAGATCAGTGGGTGAAATCTGGATGGCATTTTCTACATCCTACAACAAAGCAGAATGCCCACCAGCCAGAGACTACATCAACTGGAATGAGGAACAGATTTATTTGGCTAGCCTCTATATCATTGTTTATGGCCTCTGTACCAATGGAAGCTGCCCGAGCAAGAATACCTGTACTACTCATACACTAGGCATGAAAAATAGACCTGCCAGAGTGAGAACTTATGTACACTGTATAAAGTGCAGTCAGAATTTCTGCATTGCAGAGCACTCCTGAAGCTATCACATACTCCCTAGCCCAGATAGCTAATATCTGCCTGCATGAGTCTTCATGTTGTTCCTCAACCCTGGTTTATTACTATTACTGCGTATAAACACATGAAGGCAAGTGTGGCTTATGTGCAAATTGCTGATAGTTTGCAAATGATGTATTGGGGTAGTTTAGGCTTTTACTTCAGCTCAGCTAATATGCATAAAAGTCAGCTTGTATATGAAAATATTAGAAAACAAGAGCTTGCTTCATTCTTTTTCCTAAAAATAGCTTCTCCCAAGAACACACCACTGAAAAGCAGTGTTAGGAATAAGGAGGAGGTTAGAATATTCAGCTTCCCCTTTAAAAACTAAAGAAAATCTGAGACAAAACACTGTTTTAAGCTGGAGTTTAGAGCTGTCAATAGATGAAAACCAAGTTAAAAGGACATCCCCAAAATGTGGTAGTCATTTAAAAGTAAATGTGAGAAAATAAGGAAACTGTGGCTTGAGGGTGGAGTGGTGAAAGTGATAGGCTATTAGTTCTAAAACTTTTGGTTCAACATTTGGATCTCATAAAATGTCTAAATTTACTCAGTTAAAGTTCAACTAAGGAATGCAACTCTGCCTCATCCTTCAACTACCACCACTCTATCAAACTTCCAACTATTCACTCATTCCTTCTGCAATTCTACATGCCGCCAAGTAAACTGTGTGTACCCACAAGTCAAAAGCTGGACACCACATGGGCCAATATATCAAAATTAATACCTGAAGCCCTGGTGCACATTCATTTTATTATGCAATGGGATCTGATCCCAGATCCCAACAATTACACCTCGTGCCATGCCACACATGCATGGCAGGAGGTGCAATTTTGGGATCAGATCCTAATCATGCCATTACTACTTGCCAGTGCAGGGGGAGGCCTGGGACCATAACCCTAGGCTCCCCCTGCACCAACAAATTGAAAGAAGAGTGTCCACAGGTCTGACCATGGCTGACAATCAGCTGATTGTCAGCTCCTGCTGCAGGACTACACCAGGTCTCAAACCAGCCCAGAGCCAACAATCAGCTGATTATCGGCTCCGGTCCCAGGACTGCACCAGGGACTCAAACTGACCCCAGTGTAGTCTGGGATTGGGGCTGACAATCAGCCACAGCCCAGAGAGCCCTATGTCCAGTTCAAGAGCTGAGGCTGTCCAGGCTGGATCCAACAATCAGCTGATTGTCAAAACTCCACACCCAGCATCTCTGGGCAGGCTGCTAGGCACGAGGGATCAGAGGTTCCTGGTTCAAAAGTCATTGGGGACCTTAAATTCTGCCAGAAGCCTTTGATCCCTGGCTGCCCTCCCCGCAAAGGAAGCCCTTCCACTTCTCCCCCTCCCCCTTCTGCCCACAACCTGAGACCAGGACCAACAATCAGCTGACTGTCAGCCCCAGCCACAAGTTAAATTTAAGGGACCATACAAACCAGCCAAAAAATGCTCTATATGTTTGCCATTTTATGGTGCCTTAAATGGGTGCACATGTAGCACTCTTGCCATTTATACTGCAATTGACATGTTAATTGCAGCATAAATGTAATGTGTAGAGAAGACCTAACAGATGGAGTCCACACAAAACTTCACTTGGACTCCTCATCCCAGTACATTGGCCTGAAATAAGAGACTCCAGGCACAAACTAGAGATCACTTTTTCCCATATACCCTCCTCTTTGCCTTGCTTATAGAGGCTGTAAGCTTTGGGGTTATGGATGGCTCTTACAAGGTGTTTTATACAACCTAGAACAATAGTGACTGACCTTGGGTGATGTCTCTAGGGACACCAAATAAAAACAACTAATTAATGTCTGCCTTTTTCTTACCCCTTTTTGCTCTTCTTGTAAAGTTTTGCAATCTTTTCTACTGGAAGTCCATATTTCTCAGATATCTGAAACCACACAATAAAAATGAATTAAAAGTTAAATAAGGAATGGAGGTATCATTCCACACCTTTAGGATGTGATGTTAAAGCACTAATTCAAGTAGATCATTTTAGTAGAAATGTATACATTATTTACTGAGGACACTGCCAACTAAAACGTGATCTAATTAGAGCTGCAATCTAAAGATGGATCATTCTAAATAAATAAGTTTTTGGTTTGTTTGTTTTTTTAAATAAAAACATTGCTCCAGCACCAATCAATGCATAGGTACCTTTTGGTATAACACACCAAACCAGCAAGACAGTTCATCCTCCTGCTCTGCTCCAGCAGTTAACATTTCCCAATAGCTGTGCATATTTAGTAAGATAATGAATGCTATTTTCCACATGATCAAATGCACTTTCTCATCCTACAGAACAGAGAGGCTTTCTATACAGGAGCTCAAAGTGAGGATGGCTCATCCTGGTTATCATCACTGTGGACTAGAGCCAGTTGAACAATGAAAACAATCATGGACAATTACATTTTTCATTGGAATTTCACTTTCTTGGTTGAAACTTTTTGGCCAGCTGTCCTCTGGTTTCAAACACCCCATCTTCCTGGGGAGATACATGATACCCCACAGCTGAGAAGGCTGCTGGAGCTGTGAGAAAATAGCAACAGCTGCAGAATAGTTTTGCTGCCTTGCAGAGCCCTCTGTGCATCTCCCAGGATACAGTCTAGTTGTCTGGACGGTGTAATAAGACCACAGTTTGGGCCCCAAAGCACTATCTCTGCAGAGTGGTAATGAGATGAGCTGCTTCAGAGAAGGCTGTTTACAAACTAAAGGGCTTTCAAAAATCACTCTTGATACCTGTTCAAAGGGTGAACCAGAAAATATAAGAGAACTTTTGAAGAGAAACTTCTTAGTCGACTGGAATTTCTGAGGGCAAAAACACCCCATTGTAATACTTTTAGAAGCCCTTTGCAACAGGTGGTAGATCACTAGCAACTCTTTTTGATGTTCATTATAGCAGTATAAACCACACCACAACAAGCCCATTTTAGTGTCCATGGAGATGGTGTCCTTCAGCATTCATCAATCTGGTCCCAAATTCATTTCAGAATTATGACTTTGTTCTTATGCTTTTTCTTTACTTTAAAAGAGGATATCAGATTGTTTCAAAAAGCAAAATAATTATGTCAAATAATTATTATCACAGACTGTTCTAGGCAACAGGATACTGCAGAGAATCAAAGCAAGCAGCTTGCCCTTTCCCAGGTGGAATTAAATTATGTTACCACTAAATAGCTCATTGTGTCTCCTGTGGTAGAAAAGTGAAAAGTAGAATTAAAAATCCGTTTAAAGATGGTCAGACATTGGCCACCACATAATCCTGTGTGTGTGTGTGTGTGTGCGCGCGCGCGCGCGCACGCGCATATTCAGCACTTCGAGAAAATGGACCGTCTTAGAAAGATAAATGAGAGTAATTTCCAGAAAATGGAGAAAGGGGAAAAAAAAAAAGACGACCGTATGCTACACAAGCAATAAAAAAGGCACCAACAGTAAAAAATGCTACTATAAAAATTTAGTATGGTTTCCTAATGACAAGAAAGGACCATGACTAGAAATTCTTTGCAGGCATTTAATCTGACTGACGTCACCTAGGAAGTGCTTGGGCACTGTAGCAATGAATGTCACAAAAGAAATGTAGAACTGAATTTGGATAATAGTTAAGAATTCTAATACTATAAAAGCCTTAGTAAGTCAGTCTGCCTGTCTGTCCATCCATAATGCTTTATTTGCACTCTCATTGGCTGACTGAAACAGCCAATCAGAGTGCTCCAAGAGCGTTGGGACAGGAGATGGCGTGGTGCAGTGTTGCCATGACAGCAGGGACATGGGATTGCAGGGGGGGGCAAGGCCCTCCCCCCACCCACCTGAGGCAGAAGGGGGCCAAGGGGGGACAAATGGGCCCGGACCTAGCATAGCGGGGAGGGGAAGGGGGAGTAGGGGGAATGGTGCTGAATGAGAAGTTTAACCCTAACCCTCCCCCCACCAAGAATGGGACCAAC